TATGCTTGATAAGAAATTGCACCTGTGTGAACAGGATCTGCAGAGTTTCTTTTTGAGAGCCAGAGATTAAAAAGATGGCCCCGGGGACAACTGCACCAGGCAGAGATTTATTCACCTTTTTGATGGGGTCACCAGGATGTGTAACCTTCATGCATACCTGTCTTTCTGCAACCTTTCCCATAAATATGCCCTGTTTCTGATTCATGCTTATAAGGATAGTTCAGAACACATTCAGACAGCCAGCCGCCAGTTACTCATGCTTGAAATTAAAAAATCTTCCAGACCAATGTCATCGTTTTATTTGGCTAGGCTTTACCTATTACTCAAAGTAAGAAAAATAAGACAGTGGGCAAAGATCTTAACAGACATAATCTTACTATTAAAAGGATAGCAGGATGCTTTCAGGCTATTCTAAAAGGAAGTGGAATAGCATCCATCTCATCATCTGCTACATTAACAAGATTGAATCTAGAAATATGAATTACGCAGGAATAGTCCCTGAACACTATTATGGCACTCACAAAATGAATGCACTTTTACAAGAACTTAAACTCAATGGTAATAGATACAATGGACCAACTTATTTTGGGGAAAGGTTACAAAAGGACAGAAAAGATGGACTTCCCTTTAAATTACACACATTTCCTTTCAATTATTAAAAAAAAAAAGCCATTACTGTAAAATCTAGTTGATACCTGAAATAATTGCATCTTAATATTTTTTATTTTTAAACATTATTCTTCGAAGATCATAAGCACTGTATAATAGTTCTAATTTCTTATCTTAGAGAACTATCCATACAAAATTTTAGCACTTTTAATGAATTTATCTCTCTATCAATTTAGCTAAAAGAGCAAACGCTTTTTGAGGAAATATTATAAAATTACATGTGGAGATTTGAATTAAAAAGCCAAGTCCATCTGGGCAATATTAACAATACTCATAAGATCGTACAATTAGATACTTAGCTCATATTTTAGAGACTGTGGCACCAATTTAAGACAGTGACCAGGACTCAGAACTGCGAAAACAGACCATATGACAAAGTAGGAAAAATAGAGTTTACCCACTTGTGTCAAGGACACAATAGCAAAGTTCTTTTTGGAAAAATATTCTTTGTTAGCCAGGATATGCATGTGTGTGTTTGTGTATTCCACAATATATACTTAAGAGCAACTTTGTTCTGAGAATTCTCCTTGTTGCTAATGTTTAGTGATGAACATATCAGAGTGGATTGCTGCTCTATGGAGCCTATAATTACAAAAAAATTAAATAAATGCCCATGGATTTAAACAAAGTATTTTTTAAAGATAGAACTTAAAGGTAAATTGGATTAAAATTATAGAATGTCAATGGAGTCTATTTGATAAATCAGTACAAGGAATTAAATGTTATCCTAACACAACCAAATAAAGTAGCATTAAAAAAAAAAAGCTTGTCATCATCATATATGCACCTATCATTTGTGTGGTAAATTGAAACACTGTAGAGTTTGAGCAATTCTATGAGCTCAAACCGACCCTCAGATACTCTCAACCAACCCCACCACACATTGCTGTATACAGGCACCTAAAACACTCTTATACCAAAATAGCTCACCTGTTTTTTATTTTTTTTATTTTAGAAAAGTACTTTATTCTAAGGGAACTGGTAGAAAGTAATGGTTCGATGAGAAAATATTGACTTAAGGCATATAGAAATGCAATTCTCTAATTCTTATTTGTAACAAGATGGAGATAGAAGATTCAGCCAATTTATCCATTTTTAAATAGTGCTATATATACACACCCAAACTACTACCTACACATATATGAGGTGTTTTTTTTAAATGAAACTTACAGAAATAGAGTTTATCCACTTGTGTCAAGGACACAATAGCAATAGTGGTAGACTAATGTATATGTCATAAAAAGCAGAGGCCCTCAGGAATCTGAGGATCTTTCAGATTTAATAAGGAAATCTGGCTATGTCTTCTCTTGTTTCCAACTCCCTTCCTCCACCCCACAAGGATAAGTAAGGCTGTAAACCTTTCTGACTATTGCCATCAAAAATATTTTGTGGAAATGATCTTGCAAAAGAAGAAGTATAAACATATTTTCCAGGTTTCCAGGATTGTACAGTGTATATAGTAGCAATTAAAATGAGAAAGTTGCCAGGGCTAGAAATAAAATTTGGAGAGTCTATATAGAAAAAAACAAGCCAGCAGAGATTCCTTTATCTTTACTACTAGAGGCCCGGTACATAAAATTCAGTCCCCTCAGCCCAGCCTGCACCCTCTCCAATCCAGGACCCCTCGGACATCCCTCTCACAATCCTGGACTGCTGGCTGCTAACTGCTCACCTGTCTGCCGGCCTGATTGCCCCTAACTGCCCTTCCTGCTGGCCTGGTCACCCCAAACTGGTCCCCCCACAGGCCTGGTCACCCCCAACTACCCCTCCCCCATTGGCCCGGTTACCCCTAACTGCCCCCCCCCCCCCCGCCGGCCTGGTCACCTCATGCAGCCTGCTGTTCGGTCATTTGGTAATCCCTCACTGCCCCCCCTGCAGGCCTGGTCACCCCACACAGCCTGCTATTCAGTCATCTGTCCAGTTGTTTCGGTCGTGACAGTCCCTGGCTTTTTATATATAAGGACTAGAGGCCCGGTGCACAAAAATTTGTGCACTTGGGAGGGTCCCTCAGCCCAGCTTGTGCCCTCTCGCAGTCTGGGAGCCTCCGGGGATGACCACCTGCTGGCTTAGGCCCGCTCCCTGGGGGTATTGGGCCTAAGCTGGAAGTCAGACATCCCTCTGGCAGCCCGGGAGCACTCAGGGGATGTCCACTTGCCAGCGGGGAGCAGGCCTAAGCTGCAGTCTGATATCCTTAGCGCTGCTGAGGAGGCGAGAGAGGCTCCCACCACCACCGCTGTACTGGCAGCCATCAGCCTGGCTTGTAGCTGAGCAGAGCTCCCTCTATGGGAGTGCACTGACCACCAGGGGGCAGCTCCTGCATTGAGCATATGCCCCCTGGTGGTCAGTGTGTGTCATAGTGACCAGTCATTCCCAGTCCTTCTGCTGTAAGGGTCAATTTGCATATTGCCCTTTTATTATATAGGAGTGCCTGGCCAGCCTGGGTGAGGGGCTGATGGCTGTTTGCAGGCTGGCCACAGCCCCTTCAGGGTGGGGGTTCCCGCTGGGGTGCCTGGCCAGCCTGGGTGAGGGGCTGATTGCCATTTTCAGACTGGCTAAGCCCCTCAACGGGGACCCTCACCCCATGAGGGTGTGGCCAGCCTGGGTGAGGGGCTGATGGCTGTTTGCAGGCTGGCCATGGCCCCCAGCCACCCAAGCTCCCAGTGGAGGCTGGCTGGAAGCAGATATCTGGGATTTATTTGTCTTCTATAATTGAAACTTTGTTGCCATGAGCGGAGGCCACAGCCGGCTCAGGGCAGGCGGGAAGCTTGGCTTCCTCCATCACTCAGGCAACCAAGCCTCCTGCTTGCTCCAGCTCCCTGGCTGCTGGCCACCATCTTGGTTGGGTTAATTTGCATATAGTCACTCTGATTGGCTGGTGGGCGTGGCTTGGGGTGTAGCGAAGGTACAGTCAATTAGCATCTTTGTCTTTTATCAGTGTAGATGATTTGGAGTGGTTATGACAATTGCAGGATATAAATTGGCCAGATATTCAACCAAATTCCAGAGGTCTGAAACAGAACTATAGTCACTTTAGGGTCAGAATTGCACCAGAACTACATGGTGCTTATACAAGCAAATACATGCATGTTCTCTGTGTTTGCACAAACACAGACACTCACATTAATGTTATATACTATAGTTAAAATAATTCTATATAATGCCCAAATATGTGAAGTCAGTTTTTTTTCCCCCACTGATACTTTCAATGTTTAAATAAAACCACAGAGATACTGTGAAATGGCTATATATTACCTACATGATGAAAAATCCATTTGTTTAGATGGTGCCTGAACAGTCTCTTCCTGTTGAGAGAGATGCTCTACACACACGCGCGCACACACACACACACACACCACTCCCCCACAAAATAATTTGTATATTAGATTACTTTTCCTTAGAAATTTGCTATCAAATCATTCTGAGATACAGAAAATGAGCATGAGCATAATTCTCTACTTAATGGTTTTGGAAGCTAATAAATCTTGAAGTATTTCATATCCTATTTTAGCTAAAATCAACTTTGAAAATTAATGCAAATTATACTTGTTAAATTTAGAAATGGAGTATAATTCTAGGTAATTTAAGAACCACCATACATACTTTCAATTTTAAAAAGTTGCCTGCTAGACACTTTTATAGATATGCAGTGATTCATGTGCCTATGTCTGCATTTTTATTTTAAAGTGCACAGTAAAGGCTACAAGGCAAAGAAGAGATACATGATCTCTAGAGAAAGTTATGAAATTCAAAACAGAATAAATATGTTCTATAATAATATATTTTTACTTTAATAATTATGTAAAATGTTCTCAATTACATGGTAATGAATTTTTTATTCAGCAAGTTTAGTTAAAGCATACACTATTGTTTGCAAAATATTTATGATGTTGGAGACAATACTATACTTATTTGAAAAAAGTAATTAAATAGAATACTTAAAACAATATTATGAATACATTTATAAGTATATAAAATAATTAAACATGAAATTGTTTATTGCTATGCTTCTATCTGGTTACTAAAAAGCATTGGAAAGGAATAAATAAGTCACATGATAGAATCTTATTTCTATTTTGAGATTTGGTATTTAATTCCTGAAGTGTGAAAAACCAATCTCGTTTTCACTTACATTTATTCTACAATATACCAACTCTAAATGAAACATTTTTACTTGCAGTTGATTACAATTTAATTACACCATTAATTTTATCCTTTAAAATCTCATTATGTTAATTTTGGCTATAAATTAAATAACATTAGCAGAAAAATTGCCATTAATGTGACTATCAATTACTTTGGTATGAAAGTTATTACAGAGGAAACATGCCTACCATGGTTGTCTCAGCAATAGAGCCAAAGCTGTTTATGAATATGTTGCATGTGACATTAACTGGAGGACCTGCAAAAAGAGATTACAACATAAGGACTATTTAGGTACTTATCCAAAATATTTTCAAATAACTTCATGCTTCTCATTAATAGTTTTTTTTAAAGAATATTTTAATATATGTATACACACAGATGCTTCAGATCGAAGGCACTCATTTTGTGAAATAATCTGGATCACAAATCACAGTTCCTGGTCTCCCTTGAACACTGATGCTGGTCAGTTGTTAACCTCTTTTGGTCTGTTTCCATGATGCAGATATCTCTAAAGGCTCTGTATGTTTAGTAAGTCCAACATCTGAGCCTCTAAAGAGGAGTTTCTACTGTTTTCCCACATATATGGACCATATTTTCCTGTTTCTTTGCATGTCATGTAGTTTCTATTTAAATTCTTTATTGTTTAAAGTATTAGATAAGTCTCCTTTTTCCCCCATTGACCTCTTCCGGACCACCCTCACTCCCCAGCACATGCCCTCCCCACCTCCCCTGTCTCTGTCCATTGGTTATGCTCATATGCATGCTGAATATCACATGATCTCACTCATTTGTGGATTATAATGAACAACATAAATTGATGAACAAAAATAGAACCAGAGTCATAGAAGCATCGAACAGACTGTCCAGCCTATGAGGGAAGGCGGGAGTTGAGGGGGTAAGAGATCAACCAAAGGACTTGTCACATACTTTTTCTTAAAAATGTGGGTACTTTAGAAAATATTTGTCAGTTCTGGAAACCAGACCTCCCGCTTCCACCAGACAGTGTTTTGTCATTGCTGGTGTTTCTTTTACTTTTTAAAAAAAATATATATATATTTCTTTATTGATTTCAGAGAGGAAGGGAGAAGGAAAGAGAGATAGAAACATCAATGATGAGAGAGAATCATTGATGCGCTGCCTCCTGCACACCCCCCAGTAGGGATCGAGCCCGCAACCCAGGCATGTGCCCTCGGCCGGAATCGAACCTGGGACCCTTCAGTCTGCAGGCCGACGCTCTATCCACCAAGCCAAGCCGGCCAGGGCTCTTTTACTTTTTTATAAAATATTTTTTAAATTGAGTTTTAGAGAGAGTGGGAGAGAGAGAAATATCAATGTGAGAGCAAAACATCAAAACATTAATCTGTTGCCTCCTGAACGCCCCCTACCGAGGACTGTGCCCTGACCACAATTGAACTGGCAACCTTTCCATGAATGGAGGACACCCAAATAACTGAGCCACACCAGCCAGGGCTGGTGTTTCTTATTGCTGTTTCTTGTTTAATGACTTACCTGGACTAATACTGTAAAGTCTGTATTCCCCTAGAATGTGCAGCCAATGAGTTACTGCTCCGTGAGTTTACTGGTCAACAAATGAGTCATCAGAGATTTCCTCAATGAATAAGTCTCCCACCCTTTGCCAAGGGACTTTGTGTTTGTTTGGAGGCATGTCTCTGATGTTCATGCTTTAGCCTTCACTTCCTGCTTGCACAGGGTCTCAGGACAGTCAGAGGTGAGAGACTGGGGTCCTCCCAGAACTTTCTGGAAACACATCCAGCCCTAACATGTGTGTAGCCAGCCTCTAGATCCACAAGAACATATCAGAACTTTTCAAAGCTGCCTATGGGCATATCATTCCCCAAATCTTCTAAATTTTTGTTCAGGTTCTTTTTTGCCCAACTTGTGATTTCCTATGATCGTTTTCCACAAATGCCCTGGTGATAGAATTTTCCCACTGAGGGAGTTCCCAGGTAAAATAAAATAAAGACAAGCCCTCTGAATGGGACTCTTGAGGAAGAGCCAGGAGGTCCAACACTAACATAGTTCTGGGGATGGACTTCCTGTGGAGCTCCAGATCTGGTCTGCCCTCTAAGAGCTGCCAGGCTGCTGGGCTTTACAGCTTCTGTGGTGGAGATGTGGCTGGTTTTCAAGGCTACTGGGTGTTGGGGGCCAGATGTAAGCTGGCAAGGTCCTTGCACCTGTAGGGGCTAGCAAGGCTGCCATCCTTACCCACACAGTTTTCCCAGACTTGTTTGGATGGCGTTTATCAGTAGAATAAGAGCAACATTTGTAGAGCCTTTCATAGCTTACCAAGAAGTCTGTAATTATTTACTGAGATATACCTGTACTGAGAACTTGTCCTTCTGCTGTGTCCTTCGCTTAGAGATTAAGAGAAACAAAGAATACATTCCTCTTGATAGACCTCCTATTCAGTGTGTTGTGTATAAATAGTATTGTGTGGCTAATAAAGTTGCTTCAATTCATCAAGAGAACTGGGGTCCTCCCGATCCCGCTTTCCTGTCTTTCTTTCTTTTCTCAATTCCCACCTCCCTGCCTCAGCCCGGCTCAACCCTGTCAGGCTGGCCCTGACAGATCTGGCGCCCGAACAGGGACTGAGGAACTGGAAAAAAGACGGTGAGGAACTCCTTTGGGCTTGGAGAGAGGACGGTGAGGAACTTCTCCGGATAAAGAGTGCACTCATTAAGGTAAGGGAGGAGCAATTTTTTGATAGTCGGAAGTAAAGCATGGGGCAATTAGAATCTAGAGAAAATGCTCTTTATGGGCAAATGTTAAAGTCTATGCTCAATAGTAAAGGAACTAAGGTTAATGACAAGCAAGTAGAAAATTTTTTAAAATTCATTCAGGAGGTCTGCATTTCCTTATCGAATTTAATACGGGATTACTTAGATCCCAGGCATGACCATAATCAATCATCTCTTTACCAGAAAAAAAGGAGAAGCAATCTAATCGCCGTCCCACGCAACGAAAA